CCCCCACCAAGTCACCAACATGCAAACGGCAACAAATGTACAGGAGCAGCGTCTGTTGTAGTACCAAGACTGCCCTGTGGGAGGCAATGTGGCGCCACAGGGCAATTCGCATTAGCTGAAGAAGAAAGAGGAGGAGTCAAAGAAGCTCGGCTCACCGTGAGATTGTAAACTCTTCTCCTTGCCATTTTATTGTGTTGAATGTCTTGGAAGTCATGTTGCACAGTCACCCAACACAACAGGGCTCTCCTCCCTTTGCGATTGTGAGTAGTGAACAGGAAGAACATTGACGATTGCGAAGCGCAACAGTTTTCCAATTGACGATTGTCAGCCGCGACAGTTTCCCCATTCTCTTTTAATATGCCCCACACCACAGGATAATCGGTCAGTGTCATCTTTTCGAGGTATTTCATAATCTGGCCTTTGCTGACCTTGATCGGGAGAGATGAACAAATCCTCAAATTTGGCCCGGTTGACGTCGTGTGTGTGTGTACTCCACTTAACTTTTACAACTGTCGTCACTGATTTTTTTTTTCTGCACTCACCAGGGAGAGAAAAATCACTATTTCCGCACACCACACCAAAGGATAATCAGACGATTATCGCTGCGTACCCCATTTAACGTGAGGAAAAAAAAATCCGTTTTAAGACACCCCACACTACACCACAGGTAAATCGGTCGGGGCGGTCTTTCAGAAGCATCCTATAATTGTGTCTTTATGCACTTTGATCAGAAGAGAGGAGGAATGCTCAAATTTGGCCATTTTCCCAGAAGATTGGAGTGGGCAAAAATCAGCCTTAACACACCCACACCACTGGATCATCGTTCTCTCTCATCTTTTTATAGCATTTGATTCTCTGGCCTTTGTTGACTTTGATGTGTGTGTGTGTGTGTGTGTGTGTGTGTGTGTGTGTGTGTGTGTGTGTGTGTGTGATTTACGACTACTGTCAGCATTGACCACTTCCTGAGCTGATCGGGAAGGAAGAATCTCTCTGAATGCACCTCAGGTTCATCTGGTTGAATATTTGGTCTAAGTCTCAGTTGGTCGCTCACAACACTTTTGACTTCATCGTCACTTTCAAACTTGGCGCCTCCCGCAAAGGCTTTGAACGGGCCTTTGAAGGGGCCGGGAGGGGGACGAGGGAGCCGTTCCCAGCCCGGCTTGTTGACGGTCTGCACTGTTTGGGCTGCCGCGCGAGGCCTTGCTGTGTCATGATGCAAGATGCCTCCTTCGGCCCGATGACCCCCTGCCTTTGTTCTTGAGCTGCCTCAGCAGTTGACAGTGGTGAAGTTTCATGTCTTCAACCTAAATGTTTGTTTTTTTCATCTAATTTTGAGAAAATAGTCCTCGATTTCTGAGCAATAGTCTGAAAAAAGTTCTGCATATCAAAAAAAGGTGTTTATTTTTGTTATTTGCGTGACCCCACCCAAAAAAATAAAATAAAAATTGCGATTGAAGTTGCACGATTACTAACGTCTGATCCATTCCCCCGATCAAAGTATGAATATTCTGAGAATCAAGTTGCGCATTTCGAAGCTGCTCGCCGGCAACCTCTTGAAATGTCGCCCTCCATGCCGGCGGTTGGCGCCCCGAGATGACGACTTCCTTGCGGCTGCTGTTTGTTTGTTTGTTTGTTTTATTGTCAACGAAAACCTTTTTTTTTTCTTCTCCTTCTTCTTTTGAAAGCCCCGCAGCGAGTCGCCGCGTTGCACTTTTCAAGTGCGTCCCATTTCGACAGGCAACGGCGGAAACGGAGCCACGCCGAGGCGCGGTGCAAGGGGCCAATGGCGTCCTTGTGCTTGTCGCATCCTCTTTTCCTTGAAAACGCCACTTTCATTGGGACGCCATCCGCTCCTTCTCAAGCGCCGGGCGCAGTCGGCAGGAGGCCCATTAGCATATTCATGAGCCGAAGACAGTGGAAAGTTTGGGGCGGGCGGCGGGCGGCGCGCCGGGTTTGTTTTTCTCGGCGCGAGCGCGCGTTTGTTTGCGGCACAACAAAGAGCGAAAGAAACAGATGGCACGGTGACTTTGAAAATCCAAAATTAGCTCCGTTTGCATGAACTTGATTCTCATTGGATGTGTAATTCGCCCAGTCGTGCGGCCGTAAAAGACAATGCGCTTTTGATATGGCGCAGCGGTGGAAGCAAGTGGCATCCATTCAACTGGCTTTTTTTTGGGGGGGGGGGCTTTGAAAAGACAGTTTTATTTTATTTTAAAAGTAAAGCGCAGCAAACCAAAACTTACGAAGGCGTATTGCAACCCCGACATGAACGTCATATTCCTGTTGACGAATTTACTGAGCATCGGCTCGAGCGCATCAACGAACGTGAAACCGCACGTCCTAAACGCGGCTCCGTGTTTTTTTTTTTTTTTTTTTTTTTTGCAGAGACGGTGCGTCGCTGGTGCACGCTGGAGGGCGGCTTCCTGACCTACTACGAGAGCGCCCGGAGCTCGACGGCGGTCGGCAGGCTGGCCGTGGCCGACGTGGTCAGCCTGGCCGTCAGCAACGCCGAGACCGTCACCGTCGCAGGGTACGAGCGCGCCCATCGAAGAAAACACCCGTCAAATCATCCATGACATTGATTTTTACACATCGAGTACATCTTGAGTATTTCCAATAAATTCAACCGTTGTTGGGTGATGAGCAAACGATGTTAAAAAAAGCAAAATGAAGACATGAATTCGAACTGCCAATAAATGTAAACCAAAAAAAAAAAGCATCTTAATGAATCCTTTTCAAGAAAACAGAGGCGAAATGACACGTTCCAGGAATGCCATCGCTTGGTCGGCCGGACGGTGGAACGTAGCGTTCCATACAAGGGGATAGTTTGCCCAACCTTCTTCTCAGACTTGTTGGACATTCACACCAATGGAAAGGACTCATTTGCACGGTGCACGCACGGCTTCGGCACTTGGAAGCATTTCTTCTCATTTATTGGACTGCAACAGAATTGACTGCCTATGGAAATCGCAAATTACCCTCCCCCCCCCCACGCCGTCCCCAAGTAAACACAGACTTGTGTGTCATTTTTCCTCCACGCGACGCTTGTCGCATTAGCATATCTCTCGCTGCCGCGTGATTCACTTTAATGCCGACCTATCAGGGCTTTACGAGTGCCGTATTTCCTGTTTACTTTGGCGAACCGTATTCCCCCCCCCGCCTTTCCCTCTCAACTGGCGCTCAGTTAAAAAGTTGTTCAGGGAGCAAACTTTTGTTGGAGCCTTTCTCCCGGAAGTGGAGCAGACAGGCAAAGAAGAACCGCGGAACCTCCTCAGCGGTGGCTCAAGTACTCTCATTTTTGCACTTATGGAGAAGTCCAAATACTCATAGGAGTGCAGATACTTGTCGGAAAAAAAAAAGAGTGTGGTCAAAACAGGACTCCACCGTCTTTTAATCGATCATCTTACAGTAATTGCTGAGGAAAGAGATTTAGGACCAAGGTGCAGCCATCATCACCGTCATGTTTTGCAGAGGATAAAGAATTTATACCTGTGAGTGTCTTGTCCGCTTCCTCGATATATCTGCAAATGCACGGGGAAAAAAAAGAATGATGGCAAAGTCGGAAGCACACCATAATAAAAAGTAGATATCATCTATGGAACATGTACAGTACGCATGAAGCTCCTCAATTCATTTCACCATAGTTCATGGGCACCAAGCGACACTTGTATATTCCACTCGGCACCATAACAGCAAAGCCATGAATCTCTAGAATAGGCCACATAGGAACATTGTATGCTTTTTTTCCCTGTACTGTGTCTTTTGCAGTTTGTGAATATGAACACATGCAGATGCCACGGTCCTGTCGGCGGCCTATCGGGGACCGCCGTTAAAACCCGTGCGTTGGGGCCATTTTTTCAGAACGCTCGCACCTTCGATGAATATTACAAATCCACTTCGGAGGGACGCATGCATATGAAGCGTGTCGGCTGCTGATGAGTTTTTTTTTCTCCCCCTTTTGCTCCAGAGCAGCCACCTTTTTAAAGCAGTCGATTGTGACCTTCAGAACTCTGGAAACTTTTCAAAGTGACCGGTTATTTTCACGGCACCGCCGGAGCGAAGGCAAACGCGAGAAGTGGCAAACGCGGTGGGCAAAACTAGCGCGATGTCTAATTCGTGGCCACGCATGAGTATTTTGTGGTCAGAGAATGGTCAATGGCGCCCACCAAATTTTCATTTGTTGCTTCGCCAGCAGCGAGCAACTCACACAAGTGAAAGTACTTTTCACGTCTTCACTCTTTTCCGCTAAGAAGAAGATGCTCGTCTGGTGGCCGCGACATAGCTTGGCCCCGGTTGTCATGGTTACGGAAACAGGACTCGTCGTTGGCCCGGCAGTAAATTGGGCGGGGTTAACCCGCGGGGGGGGGACCTTAGCTCACCGCCGTAAGGCATTTCAATTGCAAATAGCCGCACATTAGCATCGGATAGATGTTCTTCATCGAGCCGCGCTTTCTCCGGCAGGGCCGTGTTCACCGTGGAGGTGTACCTGCGGCCGGCGCGGATCGTCGTCATCGGCGCCGAGACGCAGGAAACGCGGCGCGATTGGATCCAGGCGCTGACGAAGGTCAGACCCCCCTTTTTTTTCGTTGTCCTTCCATAGGCGAGCGCTAGCTTATTTTCATCTCTTTCTTCATGGCACTCTGGCGTATTCACCTCCTACACAAATGTGCCACCTCTCTACTTTAGTCCTAGTTGGATCGTAGGAGGTATGTCCAAAATGTCCATATGCTTCTCCATCTGTGACAGAGTGAGCACGGCAGCAACATGTCATGAGGTGCAGTTTTTTTTTTGTTTGTTTTTTTTTTTTTTCGCTCTTTTTGCCGCCAGTGCTTGGTGCCGCCCAAAGCGCAAAGTCTGGTGCGGGAGAACAGCGAGCTCATCGGCCGACTGCTCTACAAGGAGGGTCACGACCTTTACCACTGGCGGACGGGTTGGTTCGTGCTGGCCGGCTCCGTCCTGCACTTCGGCCCCGGCGACGACGAAGGAGACGAGGAAGTGCTTCGACTCAAACAGCTGCAGGAGCTCAGTAAGGCTCTGCCGCCGTTTTCAAAAGTCTTTGCGCGCACGTTCTTCCAAATTGTTTGGCATCGTTTGTCCGATTCCCGTCATTCCGATTTCAACCGACATTAATATTTAAAAAACTCAAGCCTTGCAAGCTATTGTTTTTTTTTCTCATTGTCCCAAATTCAGGATTTTCAACCCACATTTTCCCGTTCATTCCCAATGCGCTCGCTACATATTCACATCGTTCCCGTTTGAAACTCATTCGATTCACCTTGCAAACAATCTCGATTTTTGGGTCAACGGGAAGTTGACCCCAAATTTTCATCACTAAAATTCCCACTCAGACATGTCAAGGAAAATATTTCATCACCGACCCATTTGAAATTCAAACCTTTCACCGCATTCAAATCGGTCCCGATTTTCCCCCTGCCAAAAATGTCCACGCGCAATCCGAAAATGGCCCATTCATTGCCATCCTCGTTCCATCTCATTCGAACGTCATTCCGCGTGCTTTCCTCGTTTTGGAGCCGGCGTTTCAGCATTCACAGGCAGTTTCTCCCGAAATCGCCGACGTCTATTTGCAAACGACGTTCGCGAGAAGCACAAGCTCCTGTCGCGGCGACGTCACGAAGCTGTTGTGCCTTCCCTTGAAAATTGCCACAAGCAAACAGTCCCCTGCTAGACAGCTTAAGTGGAGCTTTTAATAGGCTGCAAATTAGATCTGTCTAACCCCCCCGCAAGCACAAAATGGCCTAATCCGCTTAGGCTTGAAGAGACTCTGTGATTAACGGTGCTAACTCTCTGATGACTTTGACAGTTTTTTTTTTTTTTCCAAGACATTGTCTTATCTCCAAACAATGCGAGTCACCCATCTGCAGGATCTTGGGTCAGACTTGGGTCTGTGTTTACGTGTTCACATCATACGCATGCTCCAAATCCTTTGCTCTCGTCTGCAGCGGTCACCAGCCACAGCGAGGGCGACGAGAAGATCCCGGTGCTGCTGATGGTGGAGAGCGGAAGGTAAGTCGGTGGCGCCACCGAGGGGCCACACCAGACATGACGCCCAAAGAAGGCTTTCAGACACGATACGTGTCACGTTTTGGTTTGTGACCAACAGGTGGCACTGTAGGGCTCTCCCTGCAGCTGCACACCTGTTGGTCGTTATGTCATTATTGCTCGAACCTTTTCATGCCGACCCATCAAGGAATAGACAGAAAAAAAACGATTTTTGGGAATGTTCATTAACCCTTATAACAAAATCCACAAAAATATTTTTGTCATATTATTTTGTTTTAGATATTTGTTGGATCACATTTGTAATCATGATGTCGATGACATCAAAAACAGAAAATTTGGGGGAAAACCTATTTTAAACCTGCAGTATCAAATTTAATACAGATGATTTAATGTACGATAAAGAATGAGTTACATAATGAAACTGCATGTATCAAAATATGCTACAAATGGCAATTTCGGGTTATTAAAAGGACTCTGGCACGACCACTCGGTGTCGGGTCATTGTTTGTTGTCGTGTATGTTTGTCGGTCATGTTCTCGATCATGTTTTGGTGACTGTTAGTTCGTTTAGCTACCGCCTGGGTTTGGTTTGATACTTTGGATTCGTTTTGTTTTCAGGACTTTGTTTTGGATTTAGTTTTCTGTGTTTTTATCAATACAATTCGTCAAGTACACCCTGCTCCTCCCTCTTGCCTGCTTTTTGGGGTCCACTGCCTCCTCGCAACGTGACAACGCGAGTTTCCCGTTTTGGAGGTGCGACGGTTCATTGCGCTTGCTTTGTATGTTCTCGACGAAGCCTCGTGGGGACCTGTTAGCCGGTCCGAGATTGCCGCTGGCCGGTACGGCTTGAAAAGAAATGATCGATCCCCATCGATTTTTCGCCCCTCTCCCTTGTTTTGTTTACAAGAAAAGCAAACGGCAAAGATATTATTCAAAGCCCGTTTTGCTTTATTTATTTGATTCATTCCTCCTGATGACCAAACGAGTTTTCAAAACCGTTTTCACTTGAACAAGAAATGTTTCAGAACAAACAATTCTGATGGAGAAAGTGAAACGGTTGTGAGCTGGAAGGTTTAGTCTTTCAACGACGAAAGCCGCAAAAACCATTTGAGCTGTCAATAATATTGCTCAATCGCACAACCTATTTTTTTGGGAGGGGGGCGGGGGCATACTTGGCAAGCACCAATCGAAACTTTCCATTTGTATTTTTGAACAGAACCATTTACATCCACGGTTTCAGCACGACGGACTTTTCCCTGTGGCTCTCAGCCATCACGCAGGCCGCCGGCACCGACAGCAGAGCGCTGGGCGAGCAGCAGCTCACCAAAAACGGCGTCCCCATCGCGGTGGAGAGTTGCATCGCCTTCGTCACGCAGTACGGTGAGTCGTAGAAAGTGCCGTCGTAGGGGCGGTACGTCCGATTGGCCGTAGCGTTTGAGTTGCGCGCGCCTTTCCGGCTGCCGCAGGGTTTTGACAAGAGGGGGGGTCCAGCCACAGCGAGGGCGACGAGAAGATCCCGGTGCTGCTGATGGTGGAGAGCGGAAGGTAAGTCGGTGGCGCCACCGAGGGGCCACACCAGACATGACGCCCAAAGAAGGCTTTCAGACACGATACGTGTCACGTTTTGGTTTGTGACCAACAGGTGGCACTGTAGGGCTCTCCCTGCAGCTGCACACCTGTTGGTCGTTATGTCATTATTGCTCGAACCTTTTCATGCCGACCCATCAAGGAATAGACAGAAAAAAAACGATTTTTGGGAATGTTCATTAACCCTTATAACAAAATCCACAAAAATATTTTTGTCATATTATTTTGTTTTAGATATTTGTTGGATCACATTTGTAATCATGATGTCGATGACATCAAAAACAGAAAATTTGGGGGAAAACCTATTTTAAACCTGCAGTATCAAATTTAATACAGATGATTTAATGTACGATAAAGAATGAGTTACATAATGAAACTGCATGTATCAAAATATGCTACAAATGGCAATTTCGGGTTATTAAAAGGACTCTGGCACGACCACTCGGTGTCGGGTCATTGTTTGTTGTCGTGTATGTTTGTCGGTCATGTTCTCGATCATGTTTTGGTGACTGTTAGTTCGTTTAGCTACCGCCTGGGTTTGGTTTGATACTTTGGATTCGTTTTGTTTTCAGGACTTTGTTTTGGATTTAGTTTTCTGTGTTTTTATCAATACAATTCGTCAAGTACACCCTGCTCCTCCCTCTTGCCTGCTTTTTGGGGTCCACTGCCTCCTCGCAACGTGACAACGCGAGTTTCCCGTTTTGGAGGTGCGACGGTTCATTGCGCTTGCTTTGTATGTTCTCGACGAAGCCTCGTGGGGACCTGTTAGCCGGTCCGAGATTGCCGCTGGCCGGTACGGCTTGAAAAGAAATGATCGATCCCCATCGATTTTTCGCCCCTCTCCCTTGTTTTGTTTACAAGAAAAGCAAACGGCAAAGATATTATTCAAAGCCCGTTTTGCTTTATTTATTTGATTCATTCCTCCTGATGACCAAACGAGTTTTCAAAACCGTTTTCACTTGAACAAGAAATGTTTCAGAACAAACAATTCTGATGGAGAAAGTGAAACGGTTGTGAGCTGGAAGGTTTAGTCTTTCAACGACGAAAACCGCAAAAACCATTTGAGCTGTCAATAATATTGCTCAATCGCACAACCTATTTTTTTGGGAGGGGGGCGGGGGCATACTTGGCAAGCACCAATCGAAACTTTCCATTTGTATTTTTGAACAGAACCATTTACATCCACGGTTTCAGCACGACGGACTTTTCCCTGTGGCTCTCAGCCATCACGCAGGCCGCCGGCACCGACAGCAGAGCGCTGGGCGAGCAGCAGCTCACCAAAAACGGCGTCCCCATCGCGGTGGAGAGTTGCATCGCCTTCGTCACGCAGTACGGTGAGTCGTAGAAAGTGCCGTCGTAGGGGCGGTACGTCCGATTGGCCGTAGCGTTTGAGTTGCGCGCGCCTTTCCGGCTGCCGCAGGTTTATGCCAAGAGGGGGTCTACGGGCAGCCCGGCGATCCCACCGGCGTGGCCCAACTCTTGGAGGAGTTCACGCTGGACGCTCGTCATGTCAAGCTGAGGGAGAAGGAGCGCCGCCTGGAGGATGTGACCGACACTCTGAAGAGCTTCTTCCTGCAGGCGGAGGACGCGCTCCTGACCAAGGAGCTCTATCCCTACTGGGTGTCGGCTTTGGGTACGCGGACGTGCGCGGCGCTTCGGAGGCTCAGCGGAGTTACTCGTCACGTCGCGCGGCTTTTTTCGCCTCCAATTTTGCCACAGTCTCCCCCCCACGAATGCCGAGAGTATTCCGCATCGATATCCATGCCGCATGTTTAGTCAACGCCCTTCGGTATTCTTTCACGCTATTCCATATCGTTCAGTATCATTGCACATCGTCAAGTATCAAGTACAACTTGATTGTCCAATGTGCTGTACAGCACTGATGAAATTTCTTCCCTCTCAAGACAACATAAAACGAGAGGAGCCGCTGCGGGTGCCTGCGCCGCCATCAATCATCAGACATATAGCTTTCATTAGCAACAGCGTTCTTTATCTTTTCCATTCGGCATTTCGGCGTTGGCTCGGAATGTCTCCAGAAATGTCATTTTGTCCTTCATCGTTATTTCAGTTTCAATTTCAACCCGAATAATTGTGCCGATTATAATTTTTTTTTTTTTCCCGCACCATCACCCAACCCAAATTCTGACTTGCCTCGGCAAAATTTAGCGAGGGCTGGATTGCTTGCGACTTGTTGGAAACTCAAAGGTTGAAAGTTGAGACTTCCTTCTGGCTTGTACATATGCGACTTCCTCCCACCTCTGGCATCAGGCGTCTTTGTGTTTGTAGATGAGGAGGATATGAGCCTGAGAGTGAAAAAGTACTCCACTTTCATTGAAAGTTTGCCGGAAACGAACAAGGCGACCCTGGATGCTTTGCTCCAACACCTGTACAGGTATTTATTCTTGCTATTCTGTCACAACGATCTTGCTGTGACGTTTCCCAGAACCTGCGGCGGCAATTTAGCGATCGGGAAAGCGTTGCGCTAGCTAGCGCGATTTTCCGCGCGGATTTCCCGAGGCGCTGCGTCGCGTTGCTGTCTCTTTGGATGTGAAGCGGACTTGGAACGGAGCCCCTTGTGGCGTCTGTGCGCTGTTCCCCCTTGTCCCCGCAGGATTCAGCAGTGCTGCCACCTCAACCGCATGCCAAGTGAAAAACTGGCCTCGGTCTTCTCCTCCTGCTTGTTCCAGACGCAGGGACAGACGCCGCAGGAGATCCGCGTGGTCCGCGACCTCATCGACAACTACGTCGCTCTCTTCGGCGTGAGTCCCGAATGACTGGTCGCCGTGGCCGCTCGGCTCGGGTTGGCCGGCCTTTCAAAGGCGTCTTTTGGAGACGGACGTGCAACGGATGTTCGCCACTCCGCGTCCAAACTGCAGATGAATCGCGCTTGCCCAAAGGCATGGCGGGCTAATTGAAGCGTCGGGAATGCACCCGTCATGACTCGATTGTACTTTTGCTCAAGGCCGGCTGGATTGACCTTTGGAGTTCAAAAGCTATGCATCGAATTCAATTTGAAAGAACGCGTTCAACAAGACTTTGCCGTTCATCATCACGAGCGGCTTTGTTGTTTTCCATCTGCCACAAAATCGAATCATGGAATTTTTTTTTTTTTTTTTTTTTCCGGAAAAGTGTTTTCTTCCATTTCCTCGCTGTTTTGCTCCCGAAGCGACTCTGAATTGATTGGCGACTCGTGCGCCTCTAACAGGTCAATGAAGAGCAGGTGCGACAGATGGCGAGGGAGAATAGTTTCATCACCCGCTGGAATGACAAAAAGGACACCGCAGTAAGTCAATCCCGGCAAATGGAAATGGGCCACGCTTCTGTTTTGTTGGTGTGCGCGTATTGATTTGCGTGCGCGCATCGGGATCTGGCAAATCAGGCTTCGGTGCGAGCCGCTTTCCTGGAAATGAGGCGGCGGGTTGGAGGCGCGGGTCAGGAGCGGGAGGGAGGGAGGGGCGAGCCGCCGAGGAGGCGGAGGCGGAGGCGGGAGCTGCCCAATCAGCCTTTTGTTCCCGTTAACCTATTTTGGCAGCGACCTCATCGCTGCAGGCTGAAAAGATTTGGAGGAGAAAAATGACATCCCATCCAATCTCAGTTGCATGTTTTTCCACTTTTTTTCCTTCATTGGGCTGTTGATACATTTTTGTCAGATTCCAGCGCATTTTATTTCGATGATTACGATGATGATGATGATGATTTTTTTTTGTTGTTTTTTATAAACAACAAACTTTTCTTCAACTTCTTCACCTGCTGCCGCAGTTTTCGCCGGCTGGGGACTTGATCTTTGAGGTGTACGTGGAAAAGCGAGGCCCGGAGAATTGCTGCCTCATCAAGGTGCGTCGACGCCTCCGCCAAAACGTCTTTTTCAGTTCAGTTCAATTCCATTCAACTCAACTCGAGAACTTAACTCAACTCGTAGAATCCCTCATCGTACAAATTGCAACTCAAAGTGCTTTGCGGTGCCAATTGTGTCCTATTTTGAAAAATCTGCAAACAAACACAGTGCAGCTCAGCCTCTGGCATGCGGCTGTCCTGGCGACTGACGGGCTTTGGGCATTTGGGACGTTCACTCATTTGAAATTGCATCACGTGAAATCTGTTTGCTTTTAATCTCCCGAGGCGAGGCTCTCCTTCACTTCCTCTGGTCCGTGTATCGTGTAGTACACGCCGTGTCACCTCACGGCGCGCTTCGTAGACGTCTGTGATGTCGCAATGGTCTCAATCCACTGGATTTCAATGTCTACTTGGTCGTCAGCAGGTTTGGCCCAGCATGCGCTCGGCGGAGCTCGCCGAGACGGCGCTGAGCATGCGCAACGTCCCCTTTGACGCCGACGACGCGTGGACCACATTCGAAGTCATCGAGAACGGCGAGCTAGGTAAGGTATCCCGAAGGGAAGCTCGCGGCAATGTCACGAGTGCTGTTCGCCACCCAACGATGTGACGGCGACTTTGAGTTGGTTCCTGCACCTGTAAAAAGAAGCATTTTTTTTTTTTTGTTTTCGCTTCATGCAAATGTCGCCGTATTGCATCGGAACGCTTGTCGTTTTGTGATTCTTTCGCATGCCAGTCGAGGGAGTCCGCCGAGCACTGGCGATCGGGTACTATCCGTCTTTCGCTATTAGCGGACAGGCTAGGCGTCTCCGATTACTGGATCTCCTGTCCAAAGTTTCCTCGTTGTCCCGTGATGAGAACTTTCATCTGGTGGCAAAATGGCGAGATGATAGCACACACGCCCATTCATGAATTCCCTCGTCATGGGCCGTCCTTTTCCTTTCTCCTCCTCGAGCGCTGGAGCGCGTGAGGGGAGTTGACCCACTTCCGCTTGCGTTATTATGCCACTGGAGTTGCATTGAGCTCGGTCGTCAAGTTGCTCAGGAGAGAGTTAAAAAAATGTTCAAGTAAAAAAAAAAAAAAAAAAAATCTTCAGTCCTGCTTTCCTGAACGTTGAACTTTGTGCGTCTGTGCGCTCACGTTGACCGCGTTGATGCGAAAGCAGTCTCTTTCGTGCAAGTGTGACGATGACACTTGGTCGTCTTTTCCTGATTTCGTCGTCGGATTTATCTGCCGGTTTTGAGCCGCGTTCTCACCACCGCGCTGCTTTCGTACGCCACGTCGGATCGCCGTACTGAGCACGTACTTTGGGAGGACCATGATCTGATCAAAGACTCTCCTGCCATCTCGTGGTGATTTATCATTCGGAAATCATTGCCAAAGCCTCGAGACTTTTTGAGGAGCTGCGCAGAGCCCCACATTACATTTTCAAATGAGAAAACGGGCCAAAACATCATTTTACGTTGGGTCGCCGAAGGAGTTAAGAGCCGACCTTCCGTTTCAGCAAATCCTTGCTTTCTTCTGGTTTGCCCCTTCCTGGAATTTTGCACCCCCCCCCCCCCGAAGTCATAAAAATGTCATTTTTGGGTGGACGGCCCCAGATAACGCGCAGCTCATATTTGTCTGCCGAGATCCCAAAGACGATAAAGCCGCCGCTGTGAATCTGCTGCGCTCTCGTGGCTCTTCTTACCTCCTCCGGGTTACGAAGAACTCCGGAGTATCGGAGCAGCCGTGTGCTGAGCGTGTTCCGCCCCGTTCGCCAATTAGGAGGAGATAATAGGTCCATTTTGCACATGAGTGTGTTCTTATAATCATATCTTGATCGGGCAAAAAGATAACTCGCCTGCCGCGAAAATATGGAGAACGACAGCTTCGCTGCGCTTTGCAAAATGAGCGCGGGCGCTTCTACTTTTTTGCCTCCCCCTTTGGACAGAGCGGCCGTTGCACCGCAGCGAAAAGATTCTGGAGCAGGTGTTGGAGTGGAGCACGCTGGACTGCCCCAGTTCGGCTTTTCTGGTTTTGAAGAAGTTCGCCGGGGCCAAACGGCACGCGGACGGCAAAGGTACGACCCGAGGCCCGCCCCGAGGTCACTCCTCGCCGTTGCTCTGGTGCCGTCACAGGGCCCAGATGGAGCCCTTCCTTGCGTTGCGGTCGCGCTCGTTCCGACTAACTCCACGCGGATCTTTTTTTTTTTCCCCCCCTCCAAGTGGAGCCCAAAGAGCTGGTCAGAAGCGAGCATCTCAAGTTCAACGACGGCTGCTCCAAGCTGCTCTCCGGGCACAAGTTCCAGGACAGATTTGTGGTGCTGCGCGCACACAAGCTGCTGCTCTACAGAGATGTCAAAGTGAGCGCACTTTTTGTTCATCTCGCGCCGCATCTCCGGGAAACACGCGACCACATTTTCACATTTAAACACAGCGCGCCGACTTGACAGCCGTGCTATCTCAAAGTTTTTTGTTTTTTTTGGGAGCGGGAGGGCGGCGTAACTTTATTTGAAAAGGGGAAAAGAAAATGGGACGGAAGGGACTCGTCTAAATCCTCACGGCTTCATTTCTCCTGTGACGGGGAAGTGTCATTTTCCCCCGTTTGCGGATGAAGTCGTAAAAGAATTCCTGCTGACTTTCCATAAAAGGAAGGAAAAAAAAAACAGCAGGACCGGCGGGCGAGCCTTCCCCCGGAGGGTTTTTTTTTTTTTCTCCTGCAGTTGAAACTTGGGATTCGGAAAGGCGGGTGGGGAAGTGTTAATAATTGATGGCGGTGCAGGAGTTTTGGCGGCAGCGAGGCTGCGCGGGAAAGACGGCGCTTCCGAGCGGAGTTCCTCACGAAACGGGAATGCGGCCGATGATTGGGCGAAACGACAAGCGGCCCTTAATTGATATTCTTTGGCCTCCGAGAGAATTGCCAGGTGGGCCTCAGATGCAAATTGTTCTGCGGGATTGATTAGGTGAGGAGGGTGGGGGGGTGCGGCCTTGATGTCGGTGGCATCGCTTTGTAGTTGGGAGGAAAGGTTTTCGGCTCATGATCAACATGCTGGGCTCCTTTCACCTTGGAATTGACCTTGAATTTTTTTTTTTTGGGTGGGGGGGGGGCTCATTTGTTATCATTTACATGATCCGCCTCTTCACTTTGTCATCAATTTTCCTCCTGCGGCCACGGCCGCGGATGTTTGCGAACGTCCTGATGGACTTTTTGAAAATCAATCGCAGGAACACCAAAGTGCTTGCAGATGCTCTCTTATCACCTCGACCTTTGACATGCTCGCTTCCAATTTGCTCTCCCCTCAACTGGGACCTTCACTTCCTCTGGACCATGTTTGATGTCATACTCACCACGTCGGCTAACCGCATCTGTGATGCCGCTCCCCTCACTTTTGTCCGGGTCGGTTCCAAAAATGTTTTGAAATGAGAAGAATTCCGTTGAAGCACAACGACAGCAGTTTCTGATTCAAGATTCAAGTCAGCGCCGTGGCCGCCCTGGGGTTGTCTTGCATTTTAACGGAGCGGAACCCCTAATTTTGTGTCCATTGTTTTGGGTCGTTCCCCCCCCCCCCCAATTTTATCGAAGATGTCTGTGTGTTTTTCAGAGCACAAAAGCCGAGAAGGAGATCCATCTCAAGGCTGCCAAATGTTACCTGGGCCTGAAGAAGAAGCTGAAGCCTCCGAGCAGGTAGCCGCGTTTTGCCATTCCTAAAAAAAAAAAAAAAAAAAACGGGCCGGGTTTGAGTCATCTCTGACTATTGCTCCCGCGGTTGGAATCGGAGCCGCGGCGAGGCGAGGCCAGGGGAGGCCAGCCGTTTTTTGGTGTGTGAATCACGCCGTACGGGGGTGGAGTGGCTGGCTACAGGAGTGGGAAAAGAGCGATACGGCGTCGTGTCATCGATAGACTGTCGAGTGGGCTGCGGGAGGCGCTGAAATGAAGACGAGAAAAGCGAGAGCGCGGCGGCGAGGGGGTGAGGAGGAGCGGCGCTCCAGTACCTCATTAGGCCCGGCTCTCCCTGCCTTTGTGTGTGTGTGTGTGTGTGTGTGTGTGTGTGTGTGTGTGTGTGTGTGTGTGTGTGTGTGTGTGTGTGTGTGTGTGTGTGTGTGCGTGTGAGCGGACCGCCTCAACTCACCGCGGCCCTGCTCCAGGCTTTCCTCCTCCTCCGCTCCTCTTAAGCCGGGAGAAGTTTTCCCTCCTCCACCTCATTAGTTCCTCTCGCACCGACAGTCGACACCAACACATTTGTCCAGATACGGCGCCTTATGCAATTTCTGCAACTGTGTCTTATTTTGATGATTACATTTAACGTATTTATTATTCATTCACGTCTCTAAACTTCCAAATTGAAATCAGGGGGCAAAATCGGCACATACTTTTTGAATGATCATTTTGTTGTTATTATTTCCCATTTAGTTGCGTGGAACTTCCTGTCAACAAATCCGACAGTCTTAAAAAAAAAAAAAAAAGATTTATTTCCAGAGCACTTTCAAACAACCACCGCAGTACACAAAGTGCTGTACATGGAGCAACTAAAGAAATTAAAATTAATTCATAACAAAGACAGTAGAAAGCACCAAAACAGTCAAACTAAAAAATCCAATCTCGTACGTCAAAAGCCAAAGAATAAAAATGAGTTTGAGGACGAGTTTTAAAGATGGGATTGTCAAGGGGACATCCCCTGAACGTTGGACCATTTTAATGAGCGAGTCGCTGGTACTTGGTGCACAACACCAAATCCAAGTCGTAGTGCACCCTTCCATGCAGAAGGAAGCCAACACTGCACCGCTGCTTAATACCACGACACTGCTCAGTGTGGACATCGAACGCCCGCGTGTGTGCCTAATGTGACCCCCCCCCCCCACCTCCTGTTTTTCACCAGCTGGGGCTTCACTGTCTACACGGAGAAACAGCAGTGGTGAGTAAGCCGCCCTAAAAGTGTGCGACTGTAGAAGCCATCCGAAGGCTGCCGTGCCCAAGAGATGAGCGTCCCTTACTTGCAGGCATTTCTGCTGCGAGGAGCACGAGGCGCAGGTCGGCTGGGTGACCGACATCATCAGGATGAAGGTACATGGAAGAAATGCTCACATTTAGCCCGCGTTTTCAATCCCAAGCTGATCAGGTTCACTCTTAACACACGCCACACCACTTGTGGATAATCTTTTAGCGATGTCTGATCATCAGCCCTTTGTTTATCCTCTGCGAAGAGCGACTGTTTCTGCTCCACTGAAAAGTCCGACAATCTGCAATAAGGTTGCACCAAACTTTCTGATATGGAGAATAAAAGTCAATGGATGAGCTGGACGAATCAAATGATGTGACGGTTTATGAGCGTTTTTTTTTTTTTTTTTTTTTTCCCCTCAAACATCACAAAAACGTTTGCCTCATTTGTCCTCCATTTCTGGACTGACTTAATTAGTCGAGAAGGGTGAGCAAATGGCAAAAAACGCCACCCCAGAGCACTTCACCCATTTCTTCCCGTTTACCTGTGAGCGAGCGTTTGCGCTGAGGCAGTTTCCATAGCAACCGGGCGACGACGGCCCACCGTTTTGCAGCAAGGTGCAATTGATGACAGCGTGTGGGCTGGCGTGGACGTCCAAGGACGGGTCCCAGCAGCGCTGGCAAAAAAAAAGAAGGGACAAGAAAGGCGCTTTTGTGGGTCAAAAGGGTTGCTGTGAAGCAGGGAGGGGGAAAAAAAAAAAAGAAAACAGACGTGCGGATGATCCCAAATGGTCTTTTCATCACCTCGCCGCTCATTCTCTTCCATGCGCAGTTTGGCTCTGACCTCTGCCCGGACCCGGCGGACGGCGCCGCGGCTGACGGCCGAATGCGCCTGCGGCCGAACGCCCCTTCAGGCAGACGGGTGAGCCGCAGCACACACCCCACGTGTCGGCACACGTCCGCAGCCGCGAGCGATCAAACGCGACGACAATGTCGTATCCTGATGATCGTCACCAAAATGAGCACCATGAGTGTGACGGTATTCCTCAAAGAAAGTCGTTCCCAAAAATGAGTTGCATTTTCAGTCAATACGAGATATGCGCCACTCGCTAAAGGGTTTGAGATATTGGGCCGAAATGTCAGGATGAAGCGCAACCGCATGTCCGCTATCGCTAATGTCATGATGGCAGCTTCGGTGCTACTTTCCGGAGCGAAGAATGCCATCAACAAGTCACAAACGTCTCGAGAAGAAGCACTTGGGACGGGAGTCGTGAGCCAGGCGAATAAACCGACAGCAAGCGCTCGGCAGAGCAGTCCTTATGTAGTCCACCGATGATAACGGGTGAGGTGTTGGAGGGAAACGCCCACCACTCCACCGCCAGCAACTGAAACCAAAAACAAACACGAGATTTCAAATGTTGACTTTATTCATGAAAATATTTTGGGCTCCCAGTATGGTCGAACTGTCGGAGAATCATTCGGAACTTTTTGCCCTCAGGTGACAGACGTGAGGACTTCACTCGCCGCCGAGAGCAGCGGCGCCGACGGTCCGAAGCCCTCGGGCCGGCAGCGGCGTTCCGTCGTATATCCGTGCCAGCCGTCCCCGCCCACTTCCCGGCCGAGCCGCTTGCGGACGTCTGGCAGGAAGCCCAGCCCGGGGGGCGGGGAGGCCAAGATGCCCCCGAATCTGCTGAGCGAGCTGAATTCCGTGCTGAATAAGACGGGCCGGGGCGCTGCCGGCACGGAGTGACGGCGGAGCGCCGAGCGCTTGGTTTGCGGGCTGTGCGTTTGCTACCTGTCGCTTTGCTCCATGAACAGGCGAGACGTCTTCAGAGAGATTGTTGCCTTCAAAATGGATACGAGCGCAGTGCCCACATCGGGACAAAAATCCAGTGGCGCCATGTCACCGTGTTTTCATAAGTGCAAAGAAAATGACGAGAATCCTTCCGTTTTTCCACGCCCCCAAACGCGTTTGGCCAGCCCTGTTTCAGGCGGTATACGGATCCTCAACTATCGTGACCTTGACACCCCTGCGCTAGCGCCACCTGGCTGTAAAAGTTTTGCTCGGATGAAAATCTTCACTATTTCTTTCGGAATCGTCGAACCATTTCAAGCAAGCCGCACCTTTATTTTGCCGCTGTACTCATCACGTGAAGCCGAAAAATAAACTCCTGGAATGGAAGCAATGAATGAATGAAGTGGTGCCTTTGTCTTCAGTAATGCAACACGGCGTGCTGAAAATGCACACCAAGGCGATTGTCGCATGGCCATGAATTATTGATTTGACTTTATTTTTTTTGGGGGGGGGGCGCCTCATCGAGTGAGCCGCTTGCTATTTCATGTCTCCGAGTGTTTGCTCACTTAAAAAGAAATGAACAGCCTCCACTTTGATGGTTGTTGATTTTTTTTTCGTTTGTTTTTACGGTTCTCATCTGCCTAGAGCAACGGGCAGCCCCCATCAATGCACCAAAGTAAGATTACAAATCTGAGAGAAAGAGAGCGCAACGCGGTCTGCTTTTTAATGTTGTGGAATGCAAAAAGTGCATTTAGGAACCATTTTGGCGGCGCGGGCACCCGCAGCGGCTCCTCTTGATGTCTGTTTGAGAGGGAGGACATTTTATCTGTGCTGCACATCCAGCACATTTGACAATAATGTTGTACTGATACTTGATACTTGATTTTGGAGCGTTAAACCATTTTTAAAACCTGGTCGGCAGCAAACGAAATAGCTCAAACCAAAATTGGAAATAGCATTTCGGTGAATGAAATAAAATTCAAATCTTTGCTTTATAAAACTAATTGCAAAATTGGACTTTTTGTCTTTGTCGGTTATCACAAAGGAGCTTTCGGCGTTCATTTGAAATTGGATTCTTTTCGAAGCGAGGAAGGGCAATGGTCGTTGGGAGCGTGCAGTTTTCTTTGTTCCACTTTGCTTAGTCACCTTTTTAGTTTTACTCTTGCACTCAACAAAAAAAAAAACCCAAACTCATCAAAACGGAAGTGAATCGCTTTTGAAAAAATCAAAACATGCCAACCTGTTTGAAAAGAAAGAACGAAAAGTCACTGAATTGAAAAAGCAAAAGTCCAAATGAAATGGAAACGAAGCCTCATGAAAAATCCCAAGCTGGTCAAGCACAAGCAACAAAAGGGCATCTCCTCTTTGCTTTGCGCCAGAAGGCTGCCCAGTAAATCGGAGCCACGAGGCGCTCTAAACTCTGACACGCTGCCGCTGTACAGCCTGGACGTCGAGCCGCGGCCCGTGATTTACATTTCCAGAAAGGGTCCGCCTTGTATTCACGGAGCCGTCCATTTTCGTGGCTATCGATAGCTCCCGCCGTGAAAGCGGTCCCTCTGCCGCCTGCCCCTCCCCCGGCAGTCGGCGCATTCTGCCCTCGAGTCTCCATTCTATTAATGCCTCGCCTGATATTTACAACACGTGCAGCCTTTTAGCCTGACACGGCTGTAAAGTATATGTTGGAGCCGGGTCAAGATTGATCTAATTAAAAGCCCCACGCAAGGGCGATTCCGCCGAGACGAAGTCTTTAAAATCGCAATCGGTCGGCGTCCACCCCCCGCCGGCGGCCACTCGGAGGGAAGGAGCGAGCCACCCGAGAGCTAATAAAGAAGGAGAAAAAAAAATCCCAGACGTTCCAGTTAAGCGGGAGGGAGAAAATACGCCTGTGGATTATTTTCATTCCCCCCCCCCCCCCCCCCCCCGATTGGAATTATGCGAGCGTCGCCGCGATGGGAAGGTCACCTCAAAGTTCGGATCGGAAAAAAACAAAACCAAAACTTCCCATACTCGGTTGGTTTTTCGGCTGCGGTTCCCCGGGAAGTCGGGAAAGTCTTTCAGACACATCGGAGAATCTCGTCTTTGGTTTGGGGCCCGCCTCCAGTTCGGAGAAGAACGAGTCGCAGTCCCAAGCCTTGTCGCCTCAACTCATGCAGCCCGCTCGGATGAGAGGCGCATTCGACTGTTTTTTTTTTTTTTTGGTTTCAAAAGCATCACTTCGATGGAACCGAAATTGACACCCGCGGTAATCTCAGCGTGCTGAGAAGCTCTCTGTTGATCGCTCGGGGATGACGGCGAGACAGTGCGGGATGGACCAGCGAGCCCCGCGAGGACGTGACCACCCGTCGGCGTGCCGGCTTCCAATGTTACCCCTTTTCCACCAAGAGAAAAACTCGGTGCTGGTTCGGCGCCAGGGCCAGCCCCGTGCTTCGTTGCTACTTCACAAGTTCTTACGAAGAACGTGTTTGACGTCATGGCATCATCGTAAAGCATCCAAACGTCACTGCTTATGTCAACGTTTACCCAACAGCGCCTGAGCTACTATTAATCATAATCAGAATAACAGTGCGCTGTTGGCATCTGCTAGACAACTCGGCATCGCTTCGATTATACTTGTATGTTGTATATTGTAGTCAAGGAGATGCAATCAGCAAACGCTTCTTTCTTTCCGAATTACTGGAGATGATCTGCGAGTCGGAGATCGCCTGCTATCCGGGCACATCCGCCATCGCTCTTCCGGTGGGACAACAATTGGGCCGGAGTTCACCGCTCAACAATTTGTGCAAAACGTGCGTGTGTCCAGGGAGTCATTCCTCGACGTCTGCGAGCGTCAAAAAGAGTCTTTGCACCCATACAATGAGACACCAGAGATATACGGATCCGTTTCATCTCATGAAGTGAAGACTATTTATACTCATCCAAAAATAGATTGCGATACATGCGCTATTTTTCTTTTCTGCCCTCGATTGACCCGAAATACTGAGTCACCTCCTTGACTTCAGTCAATGGAAAAGTTGCTGTTCATTTGAGATATTGCTCGTTATTTATTGCTCATCCAATCACATTTGGACGTCTTCACAGCCTCGCAGACCGTCGGAACCTGCAGAACACCAATTCGAGGAACACAAACTGCAGGATGGCAAAAATCTCAGCGGGTGGGAACGCTTTTTAGTCACATATGGTGCCGATGCGACATTTGCGCTGACTCGGCTTGTTGCGGGGGTTCGACAAGTTCTGAGAATCTGTGAGGCAGCGAAGGTGTCTGCGATGGATCTTTCCTGTGAACGTCAAACGTGGCGAGCAAAGGTATGAAAAGGAAAACCTACCGTATTTTCCGCACGATAAGGCGCACCAAAAAGCATTCCATTTTCTCAAAAGCCGACGGTGTCGGCCTTATTTTGGAGCCCATTATTTATTTATCCGCTTTAATCTACGACGCCCGTACCTCCACAGTAACCTTCATCTTCGGATTGTTTGGCCTAAACGAGGTTATCAACAACGGCGGGCGGAGAATTGCCACGCTGCAGGGGAAGGTAAACATTTGCTTGTTAAAGATTCATCGTGCTGCCTCGCGTTGAGTTTTGTGCCCTTGTCGTGTTTGGCAAAGTCACGCGGCACATGAGCCGCCAATCAACTTGCTTGATGATTATTTCATAAAAGTCAGTCTTCGAGTCGCGCAGCGTCAACATGTGCTAACGGAGAACGAACCCAGGCGAAAATGTTTAACTTTGTTTTTTTTTTTTTCTTTTTTAGGGTTTTATCTTCCCCCCCACCGCCCCCGCCCCCCACACACACACATATATATGTATGCATAGATGTTACACACACACGCACACACACACGGATATATCTAGATACATCTCTCTCGGCATTTAACGATTAATAAATTATATATAACGATTAACAAGAGAGAGAGAGAGGGAGAGAGAGAGAGAGAGATCGACACTGCATATTTTCCACCTTAAAATGTAATGTACTTGTTCCCACAAGTTACTATACAATGTTGAACCTCAAATCAAATTTTTTCCCTCAATCCTGTGTACGACTTCTTTGTCAAACAGATGACATATTTAATCCCGTAGTTTAGTTTTCCCTGATTTCTACTTTGACCCGGAACTAAAGGTTGGTGTCACTTTAGCAAGAAAGTGGCGTGAGCAACACTAAGCTAGCATTAGCACATTAGCCATGGCTGCTACTTTGGCAGCACACCTCAATTGTCATTGAGTGTTTCCATTAAGCAAAATGTGATCGGTTTGAAGTTTTATCGTTCGTGGCCAAAACTTTAACAAATGGTCTGAAAAATGTTCTCGGGTTTGTTCCCCAGAGGCTCTGGGCTGTTGTTGCTCATTCCCAGTGCGTTCAGAATGTGACCCACTTGCAATTCTCGATAAGAATAGCAATTACCACGAGTGTCGACGATTCTCTATTTTGAATACAACGCTATCTGTCCAATGAATCGTCTGGCACGTGTTTTAAGAATAAATGAGAAAAACCCGTCTGACTTCTATGCGTGTCTTCATGCTGCCCATCTGGATTAGTGACGTTCAAATCTTGCCAGTTCGATAGCCTCCCCTTATGAAAGCCGCAGCTCGGATGGAGAGGATGAAACAATATTTCATGGTAGACAACAAGCATGTTAAGAATTTGCTTCATTTTTTTCCGTCACTCGCACCCGCTTTTGAACTTGGCCCTTTAGAGCTTGGCCTCGATTATGTTTTGCTCACGCGGGGTCTCGCCTCAAAGCTATTTTCGGAGTAATGTGCCCGCAAAAGTCTGTGAGCCGCAATTAGCTGGGATGAAACAAATCGGCAATACCATCTCATAATTGATATTACAAACCGTCTATATGCAAATTGATTGAAAAAGATCCAATCTGCCCCATTCCACGTGGTAAGGCTTTGAACTCTATCGTAGTACTGATCAAATCTTTTCACCAGCCGGTCTGCCCCCCCACCCCGCCCCCTTTCTCCCAACCGACCCCCCTCTGATGTTGAGATAATACCCGCCCCGGTGAGTAAGATTTATGATTTGCAAAACAATAGCTACTAATTACCACCTGAAAGACAAAGCAGTTGTTACAAAACAGTGCACCTGCGTGTTGCTTTTTCCCCTGTTGGAGAAGTCCCATATTTTCTCTGGTTTTGCGTGTGTGTGTGTGTGTGTGTGTGTGTGTGTGTGTGTGTGTGTGTGTGTGTATATACATATATATAACATCATCATCTTTTTTTGTTTTGACTTTCACAGACAGTTGCAGCCTCCATCCCATGTGTCTTCTAACTTGTTTCTCAAGGGAAACGCTTCCCAATGAATATTTGATTGCCCTTATCCATTGGTTTGGTTCAATATGGGATGCATAATGAAGGGCAATGAGGCCGCTTTAAAAATAGACCTTGACAGCTTAGCCTG